GCATCATGTGTTTGTGCCATTTCAAGTTCCAGCTCTTCTGCTTCTTTGTTAGCTTTATGATGATACACCAGGGAAAGCAGCAGATGATGGCCCAGGTGCTCGGACCACCAGCATCCATGACCCAGACCTGGCTGTTGCAGCCATTTGAGGAGTGAATGATTAGATTCAAGATCTCTGTCTGTCACTCTGCATTTCAAATAATTCCAAAAAAGAAAAAAAAAATGAAAACAAACAAAGTGTAAAATTCAGAAGGGAATAAAAAGACTGCAAGGGGCAGATACTGTGGTGTAGTGGGTAAAGCAGCCGCCTGCAGCACCGGCATCCTGTATGTGTGCCAGTTTGAGTCCCAGCTGCTTCACTTCTGATCCAGCTCCCTGCTAATGTGCCTGGGAAAGCAGTGAAAGGGGGCTCAAGTCCTTGGGCCCCTGTACCCATGTGGGAGACCCAGATGAAGCTCCTGCTTCCTGGCTTCAGCCTGGCCCAGCGCTGGCTGTTGCAGCCATTTGGGGAGTGAACCCTCTCCCTCTCCCTCTCCCTCTCCGTCTCCCTCTCCCTCTCCCTCTCCCTCTCCCTCTCCCTCTCCCTCTCCCTCTCTGTAACTCTGACTTTCAAATAAACTAAATAAAAATTTTTAAAAAAGTAAAAACATGCCTGGCCATGGCATAGCGGGTAAAGCTGCCATCTGCAGTGCCGGCATCCCATATGGGTGCCAGTTCGAGACCCGGCTGCTCTGCTTCCAATCCAGCTCTCTGCTGTGGCCTTGGAAAGCAATAGAATATGGCCCAGTTCCTTGGGCCCCTACATCTGCATGGGAGACCTGGAGCAAGCTCCTAGCTCCTTTCTTCCGTGCAACTCCGGCCGTTGCGGCCAATTGGGGAGTGAACCAGCAGATGGAAAACACCTCTCTCTCTCTCACTCTCTCTCCCTCTCCTTCTCTCTCTGTGTAACTCTGATTTTCAAGTAAAATAAATAAATCTTTAAAAAAAATAAAAATCAAATAGAACTTTTATATATGAAAAATATAGGCATTGAAATTTTAGAAATCAGTGCGTAGGTTGAGTCAATTAGACATAGATTACACTAGGGAAAGGTAGATAGTTTTTTATGTCAGTGGAAAAACATCTTTTAAGTATTGAGAGGAAAAAATAAAACCTGCTAGCATAGAGTTCTATACCAAGAGAAAATACCTTTTAAAAACGAAAGTAGGGGCTGGCACTGTGGTGTAGCGGGTAAGGCTGCTGCCTGCAGTGCTGGCATCCCTTATGGGCGCCAGTTTGAGACCCGGCTGCACTACTTCCTATCCAGCTCCCTGCTATGGCCTGGGAGAGCAGCAGAAGATGGTCCTAGTCCTTGGGCCCCTGCATCCACATGGGAGATCTGGAAGAAGCTCCTGGCTTTGGATCGGTGCAGCTCCAGTCGTTGTGGCCAATTGGGGAGTCAACGAGTGGATGGAAGACCTCTCTCTCTGCCTCTCCTTCTCTCTCTGAAGAAATGAAAGACCGCCAACCTATTCAATGAAATCAGTATTACCTAAACTAAAGCTGAGCAAAAAGAATACAAGAAAAGACAAAACCATCATCTGCAGCTTTCCCTGGTGTATCGTCATAAAGCTAACAAAGAAGCAGAAGAGCTGGAACTTGAAATGGCACAAACACATGATGCAGGCATCCCAGGGGGCGCCTTTAACTCATTGTGCCACAATGCTAATCCACAATGCAGTCCACCTTTCCTCATGAAAATAGATGTCAGAAGTCTGAACAAAATTTCTGTAAATCAAATCCAAATACATAAAAAATAACACATCATGATGAGATGAGGTTAATCAGAAATCAAGCATTCAAAAATTAATAAATGCTGTACACCCAAAATGAAAAGGGAGTGGGTTCAAATGGATATTTGTACACCCGTGTTCATAGCAGCTTCATTCATAATAGCTAAAAGTTGGATGTAATACAAATGTTCATTGACAGATGACTAAATAAACAGAATGCAGTATATATGAGAGCAATTAAAAACATTCATGGACAATGGAATAAAAGATAAACTTATTTATTTTGATATCAGAAACATTTGAAATTTATACACAGAGGGCTATTCAAAAAGTTAGTGAAAATGTTTATTCCAAAAAAAAAAATACATGGTTCTGCTTATATTGTTTGGTATGCAAACTACAAAGAGACAAAGAGCCATCTTGGTACAGAATTCTGGTATAGCAGTTAAGATGATGCTTGGGATACCTGCATCATATATTGTAGTGCCTGTGTTCAGTCCCAGTTCTGCTCTCGATTCTAACATCCTACTAATGCATACCTGGGGACAGAGAGATGATTAAAAACTCATGTAGTTGGGTACTTGCCACTCATGTGGGAGACCTGGCTTGATTTATAGGTTCCATGCTTCACCCTAACTCAGCCCTAGCTGTTGCCATCTAGGGAGTAAATCTACTAATGGTCTCTCTCTCTCTCTCAAATAAATAGAATTAAATTTCTTAAAATTAACAAAATGAAGTGACCATCCTGCAAAGGTCAGATTTGCTATGAAGTGAGGAAGTCCCCTACTTCGCAGGGTCATTACAGTGATGAAGTGACAGAACGTGTTTAAGTCCCTGGCACTTGTTAGACACTCAGAAATTGGCAGATGCTATGGTTGTTATCAGCAGAACTGTGTTTATACACCCATACTGCCTAACACTGACTTCAAGATCAATATAGGAAACCAATGTCTTGTCTATCAACCTCATCACACTCAAGATAAGAGTGCTGAGCCCCCCCCCCCCCCCCCCCGCCGACTGCCTGCTCCCAGAAGCAGGGTCTGATGAGGACCTGGGAGCAGGATAGCAGTTTTTGTTCATTCCATGCAGCTCTGTTGAATGACCCCAGTCTCCCTTCACCTTGCTGCCTGAAATTGTGTAATAACAAGAAAACACAGGGCCGGCGCCCCGGCTCACTAGGCTAATCCTCCGCCTTGCGGCGCCGGCACACCGGGTTCTAGTCCCAGTGGGGGCACCGGATTCTGTTCCGGTTGCCCCTCTTCCAGGCCAGCTCTCTGCTGTGGCCCGGGAGTGCAGTGGAGGATGGCCCAAGTGCTTGGGCCCTGCACCCCATGGGAGACCAGGAAAAGCACCTGGCTCCTGCCTTCGGATCAGCGCGGTGCGCCGGCCGCAGCACGCTGGCTGCGGCGGCCATTGGAGGGTGAACCAACGGCAAAGGAAGACCTTTCGCTCTGTCTCTCTCTCTCACTGTCCACTCTGCCTGTCAAAATAAATAAATAAATAAAATTTAAAAAAAAGAAACTATTAAAAAAAAAAAAAGAAAGCACAAATCCTCCTACTTGATTTCGTTTAGTAATTGAGAAGCAAGGAGACCTTGGCCACACTACTCAATTGTATTGTGCCTAACTTTGCCCATATATAAAATAGGGAGATGGGCTGGATTCCATGAATAGCCTCTTCTAGGATTGTGTGGTGCAGTGATGGTAATAGTGTTGCCCTTGTAAATGAGTGATTCTAGGAAACTTACTCTCATTATCACATGTAAATGAGGATGTGCACGTGCATACACTGTGGTGTAAGGGAAACAGTCATGCACTGTGTAATATCCCAGCCAACAACAGATCCCATGTGCAACAGTGATCCTATGAGATAAATCACCTAGTGAAGTCATAGCCGTCTTTCTTTGGGTGAGTGTGCCTTGGGATGTTTGCACAATGATGAAATCACCTAATGGCACATTTCTCAGAATGTATACCTGTCATTAAGTGTCACCTGGCAGTATCTCATTCTCTTTTATATGGCACTTGAGAATTATTCTGTCCTCCTTTCCAAGCATTTGATTTCTGCCAGAAAGTTCTCCATCTAGAACTTTGTTACAAGTTTGTTAAACGGATTTTCAAAAGAACAATGTCAGGGGCCAGTGCTGTGGCAGAGTAGACTAAGCCTCCTCCTGTGGGCCAGCATCCCATACAGACACTGGTTCATGTCCTGGCTGCTCCTCTTCCAATCCAGCTGTCTGCTAATGGCCTTGGAGAGCATTAGAGGATGGCCCTAGTGCTTGAGCCCCTGCACCCATGTGGAAGATCCAGATGAAGCTCCTGGCTCATGGTTTCAGCCTGGCTCAGCCATGGCGCAGCCCTGGCCATTGCAGCCACTTGAGAGTGAACCAGTGGATGGAAGATCTCTCTCTCCCTCTTTCTGTCTGTAACTCTGCCTCTCAAATAAATAATCTTTTAAAAAATAACAATATGCTCTGTACTTTGTAAGTGCACAAAAACCAACCACAATGACTATGTTTTTCTTTTTTTTAAAGATTTGTTTTGTTTATTTGAAAGACAAAATGACAGAGCGGAGATGGAGAGACACAGAGAAAAAGAGAGATCTTCCATCCACTGGTTCACTCCCCAAATGGCCATAAGCCAGGAGCCTGGAACTCCATCTGGGTTTCCCACATGAGTGGCAGGGACTCAAGTACTTGTGCTGTCTTCTGCTGTCTTCTGGTTTGGAAGCAAAGCACCCGGGACTCAAACCAGCACTTCAATATGGGGTGCTAGCCCCACAAGCTACAGCTTAACCCACCGTGCTACATCAGCCCCATTGGGACAGTATCACACAACCAGCAATGCTGGTGTATTTGTGGTTACATTGAATCTGGCCCTCTCTAGCCCAGCTGTCTGTGGGTCATGGGAGCTCTCCATGGTGGTAAGCACAAGCAGGGTGAAGCAGTAAGAAGGAATGAATAGTTTTTACAAATCATATAAAAACACAGATATGCGTGTCTATGGGGCATACTTCTATCCCTGGTGGGAACCACTGTTCTACCCTGTCTTAACTTGTCCCGTACTGTGCAGCTTACTCACAGGGAGGGAGGACAGAAGGACCCATCTCTGCAGACCATGCTTTTCAACCTCTTTAGGGTACTTTATTTTTTTCCCAAAGAAATATTTTATTTATTGAATATAAATTTGGGGGTAATTTAGTGATTGTTTTCTTGTCTCTTGATTTTCAGCGCATCAGAGCAGAGTGACGATGATCCTGTTTGTCCTGGAACTGGAATGGGTGCTGAGCACAGGACAGGACAAGCAATTTGCCTGGCATTGCTCTGAGAGTGGACAGCGCCTGGGAGGCTACCGCACCAGCGCCGTGGCCTCTGGCCTGCAGTATCCTTTGCTGGACAGAATCCTTTAGTGCAGAAGTGACTGTCTAGCTCTTTGATGCATGAAAATCTGGGCTGTGTGCAATTTGAGAGGTTTATGTTTTGTTATTTGTTGAATTGTACCATCTGATTAAGATGCTTATAGATTTCCCTAAGACACGTCATCAAGGATTCCCATGTAGAGGGAGTGAAGTGAGATAACTTCACTGGAAACAATAGACCCTGCTCAACATATTGTTGTCTGCTGACATGAGGTTTGACAGCTAGACAGGATACAGTCTACTTTGACATCTCCAACTGTCAGAATTAGGCTACATCAAGATGAAACCATCACCAAAATAGAATCTTTGGTTTTTGTACAAAAGTGATTCACATGTAGGCATTAGAGTTGTGAACTTTTCTATTGGGGCCTGGGAAAAGAATCAAGGGATTCTTATTTATTCTATTGTCATTTATTGAGAGGCTGTCACACCAGGATCCACATGGTGACGCTGCATATCACTTCCAGGCGTGAGGATTCCCTCGGATGTGTAGAATGATAGTATTGAATCTCAAGTTGCCAGCATCCATGTGCTCAGGGTGAATCCCAGCTTATGCTGGGTAACTCTCACATCTGGCCAGCTAGACTCCAGGAAACAGTACTGTCTGGTGTGTAGCTTGTGTGGGTGATTCTGGTATTCTTAGTAAAAATCCTAGAAGCTCTCCACCTTCTGAGAAAAGGGAAGCAAGTGGAAACAGATCACTTGTCAGCAAATGCAGAAGAAACAATAGGACCTTTTTTCTAATTTTCTTCTCCATGTTTATAAAATGTCTTTTCAGTCATTCTGAATAATTTGACAAATGCATTACTGTTTCTTTGGAGACATGTGACCATAGTTGTATTTTTGTGTATATATAGGCTTACATTCTTTTTCTTGCTGGAAGGGCAAGATCAATACAGTAGGAATGACCATGTGGAAGATTGTAAAGTGGAAAGTTATCAAGAAGACCAGAGGCAAGGACAGTAAGGAGTGGAAAGCAAGATGAGCTTACTTTTGAGAGGGCAGCACCACCTAGGAATAAGGCACCGCAAAGCCCAGCTTCTAAAAGCCAGGTCAGAGGAGCATAGTGCTTGAGTTGAAATACGTGAACTCTGTTGCCAACAGAGTAATGATTTTTCTTAATTACTCTTATTTATTTATTTAAGAGGCAGAGAGAGTGAGAAAGAACTCCCATCTGCTAATTTACTCCCCAATTGCCCATAGCAGTCCCCCATCTGGAGCCCAAGCTGGGAGCCAGAAACTCAGTCCAGGCTTCACACATAGCAGTAATCCATTCACTTGGGCTGTCACTGGGTACGGTACCAGGGCATTCCAGTATGAGACATTAACCACTAGGCCACATGCCCACCCAAATAACTGAATTCTTGTGGTGGTAGAGGTAGAAGGGCCCTTAATCTCACTCTTCTCTCAGTCTGCTTAGCTGCTGTAACAAATTATTATATGGATAACTTACGATGAACAAATGTATTGCTTGTATTTGTGGAGACTGAAAAGCCTAAGATAAGGGTACCAGAAGATTTGGTGGGGGCCCACTCCCTGGCTCACAGAACGGCTGTTGTCTTGCTGTGTTCTGACATGGTAGAAGGGGCAAGGGAGCTCTGGATCTTTTTTTATAAGGGCACAGTCCCATTCATAAAGGTTTTGTCGTTTTGACCAATCACCTCCTGAAGGCTGTTATCTCCAAATTCCATCTCATTGGATATTAGTTTCAACATCTAAATTTTAGGGGTCTGTAAAAACATTCAGTCCTCTTTACCATGCACAAACAAGCATGTACACATGGTAATTATGGGTGGTGATGGATGTGTTAATTAATTTGTGGTAATTATTACAGTGATACATCAAATCATCATGTTGTACACCTTGATTATGTGTGGTTTTTATTTGTTGATTAGATTTTTAAGATTTTTTTCAGTCTATAACACTCTCATGTCACAGATGAGCCAGCTGAAGCCCAGAAAGTGTCCCATCTTATCTGAGGCTACCCAGCCAGTTAGTAGGAAAACCACCACCAGAACCCAAGTCCTCTGCCTTAGACTCCTGGTTTTGTCCCCATTATACTGCATTGCCCCTTTCAGAACAGAACTAATGGTTTCAATATATTTGCTCTTATTCTGGCTAGTATGTCACTAGCCCAGTCTAGTGATAAATCTCTCTGTATGTTTTATGTATCCCTTAGCCAAGCCAAAGAGTGCAGGAAAAATTAACAGATGTTGCCTCTGGATCTTATTGATCTTGCCTTAACTTTTTTAATTGTCTGAAAATGAAAAGCAAAAGTCAAATGCATATTGTTAAACTTGTCCTCATCGTAGTATTCTATGGTGTAAGAATATTGGCTGCCAGTTCTTGTCTTTAGGCATCTCTAAAAGGCATCCTCAGTTTTTGATTGTTTGTTTTGGCCATGCTGTATGGTTTACCAAGTAGAAATGCATGTGATTGGCTATCAGAAGTGTGTGTGTGTTTATAGGCATCTAGGCTTCAGTTCTCAGTGGAAGGGACCATGCAGCCAACATCACTGTTAAGGTGAAGGGAAGCTGTCATACAACAGATAATTCCTCCCAGAAAATTCCTCAGCTTCAAACAGTTCTGCCTCACCAGCACTGATTGGTGCCAACACTTATTCTTGTGTATTTTTCCAGTGCTAAACACTGATGGCACAAAAGCTCTGTGCTGCCGCCAGAGGGTCTCAGCCAAGAACCATGCGATTTTACAAGGCTGAACGTTTTTTCTGGGAACTGGCTGGTGAACACATTATTAATGGGCAAGCCATCAGTATTAGGGTTCACTTTTCGGTCTAGCTTTTAAACACATAAACTTATGAGACCCCCACCACCAACATCACCACCACATTCTTCTCTCCTCACTTTCTTCCCGCCACTGTCCACACTTTGAGAGTTTTCTTTGTGATGAAGGAAGGAGGAAGAAGATCTTATGCCAACAGCATAAAATGTTCAGAATTTTATCATTACCCCTACTTATCTTCACAGGGACCAACTAACGGTTTAAATAAGGGACCTCTATGGATGAACTGATTGTTTCCCATTTTCCTCAATCATTTCATTCAAATCAACAAGTAGCAAAATAAACCAGATGGAGTTACTTTTTTTTTTTTTTCTCTCTGCTTTCAGGTCTCTTAATGGAGAAATAACTGTGCAATGCAAATAACCAAAATTCAGGTAGAGAAATAAAGGAAGATGAAGAGACTAACCATTTCATAGATTGTATTAACAGTTTCTGAATAACTTGAAATCCTTTGCTTATGTTATGTAGAAATCTGAAGCTTTGAATGCTAAGGGCTGAGACTGGATGTCTGGCCTGTATCCCATGTCAGAATGCTTGGGTACAATTTTTGAGTCTGGCTTCTGACTCCAGCTTCCTGCTAAGGCAGACCACGGGAAACAGCGGGCGATGGCTCAAGCAATTGGACCCCTACCTCCCACACAGAAGAACCGCAATGAGCTCCCAGCTCCCAGCTCCCAGCTCCCAGCTCCCAGCTTCAGCCCAAACCTGGCTGAGTGAGCCAGTATATGCGAGTGCTTTTAAGCCTTCCCACCCACTTCAAATAAATAAATAAAATTTTTTAAATGTTTTAAATATTAAGTGCCCTGTAATAGCAGTACTAGGAATAATATTTATAAGGGGGAGAAAGAAAATTTCTTACATCTACGGTTTCTAGGTTTACAAAGTACTTCTGTGAACATACCTTCCTTCACATCAAAATAATAATGTGCAATAAAATAAAATAGCTAATTCTCAATTTTCATAGTGTAGCAACCAAGACTCAATGGCACTCAGAGAGATTGACTTGCTCAGTTGCATGGCTTGTTACTGTCAGAACCAGGACTAGAACATGGATAATAAAATTTTTCAGCCCTTCTACTGCACAACCTGATAGAGCAGGCTGGAGGTTTTTTCCAGGTCCTCTGACAAGGAAGTGAGGAAATAGAGATGTTTTCCTTTTTAACCTCACTTGCTAGTATAAAATTTGTAGATACTTGATCCAACCTTACCTGTCAGTGTCTTGTTATCTGACCATGTTTTTATCATATTTTTCATGTTTTACAAAAATAATTCAGATACTCCTTATTTTAGGATTTTCTTCATGATGGAGATATTTCCAGATGTCACACCATGCAGTGAAATACCTTCCTGCTAAATGTAATCTCTTAGATTTATTCCTTGAAGGTAAAGAGTTCTGAAAAGCTATTAAGATTATCTCAATTTCTTGCTATCATACTTCATGCCAATCACTCTGGCTTTGAGGTTGTACTATCTTTTTATTTCAGCCTCTTCTAAATGGCTTTTGTTGAATTGGTATTTTTTTTTTTTTTTTTTGAGAATACAGTTCCTTAGAATTGAAAATAGTATTCAGTGTCAAATTGAGTCTAGTTTTTCATCTTTGTTTTTAAAATTAATCAAGATAAATGTAAGGTGATCTTTTTCCTTATAAATTTTAATATCTTACATAAGTTTGATAATTTGCTAGAAGAGTATAACTTGTTATGCTTTGTCCTCCTTTACTTTATTTTAATATTTTATTATCAAAACATTTTAAACATGCAGCAAGTTGGAGAAAATAGGATAATAGACACTCACCAATCATTCACATCCACTGTCAATTCTTCTGCCAGATTTTTATTTATTTTCTTTTGACACTAGACTATTTTAAAGTAAATTCTAGATCTAATGTCATTTGATCTTTACATAGTTCATTATATCTAAAATATATGGGTTTTTTTTTTCAGTAATCTCAATGCTATTATTACATCTGGAAAGTAGTCATTCCTTGATATGTTGAATAATAACCCATTTTCAAATCTCACTGATTGTTGTGCAAGTGGATTTTTGCAGTGAGTTTGTTTGAAATTGCATCTAGATGTGGTTCACATGATGCATGTGGTTGTCATCTTCCAGATCTTTCTTCACCTATAGCAGTGTCCCCTCTCTACTTTTTTTATGCCACTGCTTTGCTGAACATATAGAATCAGTTCTTCTACAGTCTCATACTCCAAGTTTATCTCTGCTTTCTGTTGATGTCATTTGTTTTGGTTTGGTTTAGTTTTTTGGGAGGCAGAATGATAGAGAAAGAGAGGGAAAAACAAAGAAGAGGGATCTTCCATTGCTGATTCACTCTACAACAGTCAGAGCTAAGCCAGGCCAAAGCCAAGAACAGGAACTCCATTTGGGTCTCCCATGTAGGTGGCAGGGACACAAGCACTTGGAGCCATTGCCTGCTGCCTTCCCAGGTACATCAGCAGGAAGCTGGATTGGAAGCAAAGGAGCTGGGACTTGAACCGGGACTCCAACATGGTATGCTGATGTCCCAAGCTATGGCTTACCCCAGGGTGCCCAGTGTCCGTCCCTCTTATCATGTCATTTAACTTGTTTGTTTACCTATCCTTTTCTCATATTTTCTGAAAATTGAAAGTTGCCTGTAATCTCTTGATTCCCTCTGACTCACCATTTTGGTAAGAACACTTGCAGATTGTTCTTTGTGCACTTTATCATAGTCTCCCTGTGGAGGAGCATGAATTGGGGATTGGCCTTGCAGTTATCCTAAGATTAATCAGCAATTCAGGAGGTGACATCCAGGTCCCTGCAGCAGTGCCATCCTCCCTTCCAGTCTTTCTTTCTTTTTTTTTTTTTTTTTAATTTTATTTGTATTTACTTGAAAGACAGAGTTACACAGAGACAGAAGGAGAGGCAAAGAGAGAGAGAGGTCCTCCATCCACTGGTTCACTCCCCAGATGGCCACAACAGCCAGAGCTGCGGTGATCCAAAGCCAGGAGCCAGGAGCTTCTTCTGGGTCCCCCACGCAGGTGCAGGGTCCCAAGGACTTGGGCCATCTTTCACTGCTTTCCCAGGCCATAGCAGAGAGCTGAATGGGAAGTGGAGAGGCCGGGTCTCGAACCGGCACCCATATGGAATGCCGGCACTGCAGGCGGTGGCCTTACCCGCTACCCCCTCCCCTCCCCCCCAGTCTTTCTTTTACTGGTTTCAGCCATTGGGAGTGTTGCCTGAAATAATTCTTTCATTAGAGTTGCAAAATAGCTATTTTCTAATCCTGTCATATTTTCCCACATGTAATAGTTGGAATTCCTTTATAAAGTAGAATTTTCTGTCATTAACTAATGCTCTTTGATTACTCTGAAATACAATTACTTTAGGAAAAGCAGGATAATTTCTTAATTCTTTTTAAGCTAATTTTCAAAGTGGAGATTTATTGCCCCAGTAACCTCTAATAGGGATCTTTTCTTTGTGTTTTTGAGCACTTTTATGAACCCTTAGTTTTTGGTTTCTTTGAGGTGGTGGGTTTTTTGCTTGGTTGGTTTTTGGTTTTTTAGTTTTTTAAAATAATAGCTTTCAATAAATTGCCATTTTTTATGTTCAAATTTACCACCGTTGGTTGAAGAGCCTCATCATATTGTCCCCAAAGTTTTCTAGTTTTAATCTTTAAAAACTATTTTAAAGAGCAGTTCTAGATTCACAGCACAAAGGAAAGAAAGGTACAAAGATCATACACCTCCTGTCCTGACTCCTGCCTAGCCTCCTCCGTTACCAGGATCCCCCACCAAGGGGATCATTGGCCCCCAAAGTCTGTAGTTCCCATTAGGGTTCACTCTTGGTATAGTATATTCTATGGTTGTGGGTGTCTACCATTGTATTATCATACAGTGTGTTTTATTGCCTTAAAAAGCCTCTGCCCTGCCTATCCATACCTCACCACTACCTCATGTTTTTTATATAAGCCCTCTAGTTTTTGGTAGCTTCTTGGCTTTCTGAAACACATATCTTAAGCCATCATGTACCTTTCCTGTCCCAAGCCTGGAATTAGCCATTCTTTTAGTGAGGAATAGTATGCAGAGTTAACTCTGAAAAATACCCATTGTTGTGTTTATATTAAAATAAATTAAGTCATCAATTCATATAATATATCTAATTCAAGTTTAAATTACAGAGGGATTTTTTTTTGTTTGCTTGTTTTAAGATTTATTTATTTATTTGAAAGGCAGAGTTAAGGAGAGAGAGGGAGAGACAGAGAGAGATTCTTCCATCTGCTGGTTCACTCCCCGAGTGGTCACGACAACTAGGCTTGGGCCAGGCCGAAGCCAGGAACTTCACCCAGATCTCCCACATGAGTAGCAGGGGCCCAAACACTTGGACCATCAGAGGATGCTGCTTTCTCAGGCACATTAGCAGGGAGCTGTATCAGAAATGGAGCGGCCAAGACGCAAACCAGCACCCATGTGGCGTGGTGCTTAATCTACTGCACCACAAGGCTGGCCCCCTGATAACAAGTTTTTTTATTTTTTCATTATGGTACTTGATTCTTTTATCTTAAGCTGAAAACCTTGGTTCCTAAAACATTATCATATTTCCTTATTTGCCTTATCCTATATTTCAGTTGTTTGGAATAATAAAAATAATAAAAATAAAACTCATGAATGAGATTTTAGATTTCTTTGAAGTCATTTGAAATAATTCTTTCAACTATATTGTTGTTGTTGTTGTTTTGGTTTTTTGTTTGTTTGTTTGTTTGTTGTGACAGGCAGAGTGGACAGTGAGAGAGAGACAGAGAGAAAGGTCTTCCTTTGCTGTTGGTTCACCCTCCAATGGCCGCCGCAGCCGGCGCACCGCGCTGATCCGATGGCAGGTGCCAGGTGCTTCTCCTGGTCTCCCATGGGGTGCAGGGCCCAAGTACTTGGGCCATCCTCCACTGCACTCCCTGGCCACAGCAGAGAGTTGGCCTGGAAAAGAGGCAACCGGGACAGAATCCGGTGCCCCGACCGGGATTAGAACCTGGTGTGCCAGCGCCGCAAGGCGGAGGATTAGCCTAGTGAGCCGTGTCGCCGGCCTCAACTATATTGTTGTTTACCAACCTGATAGTTCCTTTCATTCCTTTTACTCTGTTTTCATTTAGGGGATTTTTTTCTCATTTTATTTTATGTTTTTAACATGTAAAATACTTACAAGATTTTAAAAGAGAAAGTATAGAAAAGGGAAGCCTCACTTCTGTCACTATCCCTTCACCTGTTCTCCCGCCTCCATGGGTAGCCACTTCGGTTAGATCTTAATCATTCTGGTGCTTCCTTTCCTAAATATGAACACTTATGTGTACACATACGCACACGTTTATGTTTGCTTCCTTTTCTTACACAAGGGCAAATAGTTTATAGACTCATATGACTTGGTGTTTTTCCCCCACTTAATAATATAGTCAGGAAATTACTCCATGTTAGTGAATGGAGATTTTCTTTTCTGTTTGCTAGCTGCATAGTATTCTGTTGTATAGGAGTATCATCATTACTTCAGTAAGTCCCATACTGCTGGACTCATGGATTATTTTCAAACTTTAGCTAATGAAATAATATGGAATTAACAATCTTGGGATGTGCCTTTTTGTATTTTTGCTAATATATCTCTGGGATCAGTCTCTAGAAATAGGATTAGTAGGCATGTTCAACCAGCACAGCTCATTGGGGACTGGGTGTTCAGGGCTTCTGTTGGGGGCTGGTCACAGATAGCTTCCCCCGGCATGTATTAACACTCCAGACTTACAGGAGGAAAGCAAGTATTTAGCATAAGCCATGTTGCTGTACAGTTAAGGCACAATGAGCCATTCCTACCAGTTAATGGTAGGAACTCCCTAAATGTCAAGTTCACAGATACTATGCCAATTTTGTAAGCCACCTTTCTAACAATAGCAGTCAAGCCTGCTGTGTTAATTCTTTTTTTGTACAGCACCATATTTATTTTTGTGAATTCATTTGGAATTTTTCCCATTTTTTTTAGGTTTGTGGTCTTTTTCTTCTTGATTGTTTCAGGATTTGGGCCATTTGTGACATTAAATTGCAGATTTTTTTTTCCCAACTTGCCTTTTGGCTTTGTTGGTATTATTTTTTGTTTGTGTTGGTAAGTTGTAGTTGTTCTGTATCCAGGGTTACAGGGAAACTCTCCTGTCTATATGTTTTTATTTTTTTATTTTTAGATTCCTAATTCACTTGCATGATTGTGTTACACAGTGTATAACACAGATCCAATTTTTTTTTCAAATTGCTATCCAATTTCTGCCAACATTATTATTTTTTAAATCCATCTTTTCCTTATTCATTTGAAGGACCCAAATGTACTAACTTTCTGTATGATTTGAGGACTGTTTCTAGACTTTCTATTCTATTCCATTAATCTATTTATGCATCAATATTGCATTCTTAATTAAAGAAACTATATAACATTTTAAAATCTGGTAGGGCTAATCTATCCTTATCACGTACTATATTCTTATTTTCAGAGTATCTTGCCTCTTCTTGCTTATTTATTTGTCCATATGACCTTTGGGATTAACATATCTAGAGAAAGAACCTGTTGATATTTTTATTGGGGTTGTATTAAATTTATAAATTAACATAGTAAGAGGTGATGTCTCTATCAGATTGAATCTTCCTCTCCAGTAGTACATCGTGTCCCTCATTTTGTTAACTCCACTTTGTGTCTTTAAGCACCATCTTCAAGCTCTCCTCATATTTAATTTGCACATTTCCTGTTATATTTATGCCTTTTTTTGTTTGTTTTCTATATAAATCTTCCCATTCAATTTTGAGAAACAATCCTTAATGCCTGCATGATAGATTTGATGTCGAAACTCGGCATGTGTTTATTGGTGACCACTCAGGCCAAGTAACAATCCTCAAACTGGAGCAAGAAAACTGCACGCTGGTCACAACGTTCCGAGGACACACAGGTAGGCTGCGAAGTAAAACCCTTGTGTGTTCATATAACAAACAGTGTGCTGTCACCTGCTGCATATTCTCATGTTAGATGTTATGTTTTCAAAGTAGCAAAGAACTGTCCCTGCTTGTACAGAGATACCCAAGACCTTTAACTGACACGAGAATGATTCAGTAATACATAATGTCAGAAACTTTTCTACAGAATCCAAGCAAAAGAGGAAGCAATCTATTTTGCAAACGTTGGTGGTTTGGTTCTTTGTCAGACTGCACTGGAGAAAGCTAGTGTTGGCATGCATTAATAGGCCATTGTTTGAGATGGCATAGCAATTGCTCAGACCCTAGAAGACCAAAAGGACAGTTGCTTCCATCTATCCTGGCCATTCTTGGAGTGAGAAGATGTTGTGCAAGAAAGAGACTCACTTCCCCTTCAAATGAAGAAAAAAAAAAAAAAACACTCATCATGAGTAGCTTGGCTCTACAAAAAAGAGAGGAAAGAGAGGATCCTCTTTCTTTCCAGACAACTCCTTTCAGTTTAAAACCCAAGGTTCCCTTAACATAATTGTTCTGTTCAGGGTCATGTAAACAAGGTAATATAAAATATTCACATTTAGCCTTTGAAAGACCTGATGATGGTTAATTTTTTACTGATATTCTTGACATGCTGGCAATGTTTTAAAATCTAGAAAATACTGACCCTGGAAATGAGTTGCTGCCTATTTTCATGGTTCATGGTGGACTTTCGTGTTTTCTACAGACTATCAATCCATAATTTATTGTACAACAGCTATAAAACTGAGTTTGAGTATTGTATAAAAAGAGAAGTAGGGAGAGAGGATATTCAATGGGATAGTACCTAGATTATAAGGGATTTCCTGAAGAGAAAAAATGAGATGCTGGAATAAGAACCATAGTAAAGAGGAAATTGAATCAAAACATTTCTAAAATATAACCTTAATTATCTGTGCCCTTGGGTGAAAGAACATACAGAAATGTCCCCTGTAGTCGGGACCCTGGTGTTTCCTGGTTGGATTTCTCTTTTTAGCCACCCTGGGCCCAGTAGGAACCCAGAACTGCCCCACCCCAGGAATCTTAAGCTTCTATGACTCACTGATACCTTCAGGCTCCTCATCTTTCACTTCCTAAACCCTCACTTCGCTCCCTTGCTCTCTGCCCTTGTTGGGAAGTCTGGTCCTCCATTCCTCCTTATCCCCAGAGCCTCAGCCCCTGTTCCCTTCCTTCCCAGTGTTGCATCGCTTCAGCCACGTGCCTCCCAGCACTCTTAGTTCCAGGAGCGAGGGTGTGCTTCCTCTTTGGGAAGCTTTCCTGTGATTCACTGTCCCCCTGTCTCCTTATGCAGCCGGCTGCCATGAGACTTAGACCACCAGGACCACTGCACGAGCTGGAGTTCTGATCCAGATTCATCTGATAATCTTTCTGTGTGTCCCTGTTCCCCTAAACAACTCCTGCAGATCTTCCCGCCCTCCCCAAGACCCTTCCCTAGCTCTTGCCCAGCCTCTTCCTCTTCACAGCTATCAGAGAGAAGCCTACTCTATATCCTGGGACCCCAAGAAACAAGCATGTCTCCCCCCCTCCCCCCCGCCCCGCCATCTCTGCTTTCCTCTGGCCCTGGCCAGCTCTCAGGATCTGCACACCACACTAATCCCCTGTGTCTCCCTTTAACACACTCTTGTCAATTTATGAGCATGCTTAATTTGCCCTTGTTAAAAACCAAACCAAACCATCTCAAGTCCATGTCCTTTTGTAGCAATTTCCATTTTATTCTCCTAATAGCAATGCTTTTCTTTTCACTTTTTAAAAATTAGAGTAGAATATACAGAAATTGACCATTTCCACCATTTTGATGTATTCCATTTAGTGGCATTAATTACATTCACGTGAGTGTGCAGCCATTACTGCCATCAGCCTCAGAATATTTTTCATCTTGAGAAACTGAAACTCTGGGCCCTGAGACAATAATCCCAGCACCCCAGCCCCTGGCGGCAGTCATCCCACTTCCTGCCTCTGTAAATGTGACAACCTGAGGTAACTCCTATGAGTAGAATCCCAAGTGTTTATCCTCGTGTGATTGGCTGATTTCATTCAGCGTGATGTCTTCAAGGGTCATCCAGGTTGGAGCAACCAGCAGTGCTTCTTAGGAAAATGTAATTTCCCAGCTGCTTTGAGATCCTCACTCCCCCCTTGCTGTCCAGCCCCTGCAGTCTGGGTGTCTCTAACTCCTCTTATGCTGCTCTCTCCAAGGTGGCCAGCAGCCTGCTGCAACAGGTTGTGAACCTTGTCCTACTTAACCTGCTGCCAGCATTTTACATGGGGCCTTTCCTTCTTGCTCCAAATACTCTACTTTTTCTTCTGTGATTCATCCTCTCCCAAGTTTTCCTTCTATGCCTCTGATGATTCTTGCTCACAGTTCCAAGGTTCTGTGCTGTATCCTCTTCATTTATTTTTGTTTATTTATTTGAAAGTCGGAGTTAGAGAGCCCTTCTCTCTGCTGGTTCACTCCTCAAATGGACACAATGGCCAGGGCTGGGCCAGGCAGAAGCCAGGTGCCAGGACCTCATTCAGATCTCCCCCATGGGTGGCAGGGGCCAAGCACTTGGGCCTTCTCCCACTGCTTTTCCCAGGTGCATTAGCAGGGAGCTGGATTGGAAGAGGAGCACCCAGGATACTACCTGGTGCCAGTATGGGATAACAGCATCATAGGAGGGGGCTTTACACACAAGCCACAATGCCAGCCCCAAATCTTCTTCTCTTTAAATGCTATTTAAATGATATTTCCAATACCAGAGTGGTGACTAAAGTGGGAGAAAGTGAAGGGTAGCCAGGGAGACCTCCCCAGCCAGGGGTTGCTTGACCTGAGATCTTTGGGGATGAGTACGAGTTGAGTTCACGAGAAAGGAGTGAGAAGAGCAATCCAGGCAGAGAAAAACAGTATTGCTCAAAGCAAGGAGGTTTGCAAGAGCATGGCTCTCAGGAACTACTGGTCACTTGTTTTGTGCCTGGAACCCTGGGTGTGAGGGAGGAGAGGTAGGGGACTAGAGCAGCAGAAAGGCAGCAAGAGTCCTTCGGACCACCGAGGTTCATCTCAGACATTATTCTGACGTCTGTGAGAAACCATTCATGATTCTGAAGCAAAGAAGATCATCTGACCAGATTGTAAACATTGTTCTGGGAATAGCGCAGAATTGGAAAGCAAGTAGGATACATTCCCTTGAAACATGACAGTGGCCTTGGGGAAGTGAGGAGCAAATAGACTCAGAGTAAAATTTAGGAGGTGACTTCAGGCCTGGTGACAGACCAGATGGTTACCAGATTTGGTTTAGGCAGCGGTGGCTTTCAGCCTGACCTCTTGAATCCTCAGAAGTCAGTCACCATGCAGTGCCTCGTAAGAATCCACTGAGTTCCTAATTGTTGCCTCTGGGAGAAGAGGTAAGGAGCTGCTTCTAATCAGCAGCCAGATGTGGCTCAGGGCTCTCATGTTTTGCAGGCTTGTTCTAATATAAAATGTTACCTGGGCATTGTGTCTTATCTTTCTCTGAGTTTAAAGCATTTCATTTCATCTTTATCACGGAATGTCTTTGAGGAAGATAGCACATGATCCAGGAAGGTCACGGACATGAAAGCAGATAGAGAGGTCAGGTAGTTACCTTGTTGTTATTATTCCTGGAGAGTAGTGTCTGCCTACTCCTGCTCCAACTGCAGCACCACTGCCTCACTTAGAGCTAGAGCAAGGACGTCTAAGAGATTCCGGCATGATTCACACATACTGTGCTGGCTTTTCCTGTGGTAGGCCGATTGTGGACTCTGGGAAGTCCCAAACTCAGCCAGATATATAATTCTGGAAAGAAGCTTTTATAAGGACCAAAGACCCATTAAAGAGTGGGCTTGGGGTCTCATCCATCTAGTCCAAACTCGGGAGCAGGTGAGCCTTCAGTCTGTGTATGGAGTCATAACCATTCACCCCATCCACTCCCGTATAGCACAGAAAGTCATTCCAACATGTGGGTTAGTAATGGAATCCTCCCGAGAGTCATGTCCAGAGGCCAGAGACATTTTCCAGTCCGTGGGGACTCAGGAAACTAGTTTTATGTTCTTATGCTCCCTCTGCTGGCTTTCCTTTGGGAGCTAAATGCCAGATACCATAGTTCTTTGCTATTTCTGAAGAAATTAGAATATAGTTCCACAAAAAGTCGTAAACTGATTTGAACAAAGTGGAGAAAAGTCCTGTTTTGACCACTGGACATTAGTAGTGCCAATGCATTTTTTTTTTCACGTATAGGAACTTTTTTGATCAGCATATACATATTTGAAAAAAGCATAGTAGTAAATGAAAATTGCACATGGACCTTTTCATTAGCTGTTAGGAGAATTATTGAAAGGAACAGTGTAATGATAGCAGAAATAACTAAACAAACCAAGAAAGTTCACTGCAGATATGCAAGGTCATGTAATTAAATTGAGAACATTAGTTTTGTTTATAATGGACACTTTCACACAGTTCCATTTTATAGCAAGTGCAAGCCAGTAGACAGGGATTATCCTCAAGTTGGTCGCATAAGCAGTCGCAGTCTGCTGTGGTGAGTGCTGGGAAATGTGGGTAAACACAACAAGCATAATCCTTGTCCTTATTCAGCCCCCAGCCCAGTGTGGAATACAAGCATCAGATCAGTGATTAGATAATTCATTAAAACATTATATGATAGGAAGTGCTGGGAACCCCTAATGGTCACACTTTGGCTGCTGTGAAAGCAAATAACTAGAGGACCTTTCCTCATGCAGAGAGTTAATGGGAAGCATTCCAAGGAAGTGGGGTGTACATAGCTCCTTAAGGAGAAGAGGCGTTCCCAGGAGGCAGGAGCACTCCAAGCCCTGGAGATAGCTGGTAGGAATCCTGGAGTGGGGAAATGTGAGCAACCATGCGGGTTGAGCTTATGAGAGTATTAGGAATTGCAGACATTATTCTTGGGTGGTGGGAAACCAGTAACAGTTTGAACTG